TGACAAAGATGACATCTCAATTCAATAGATAAAGGAAATGTGATTTAAAAATTATGCTGAAATAATTGGTTACTTATTTGGGGCAAAAAGTTAAATCCTTATAGCATAGCTTACACCAGAATAAATTCCAGAATGTTAAGTTTTATGTAAAATTTTACACATAAAGCAAGAACAAAATGTAGGTGAATATTTGTATGATTTCAGGATAAAATTTCAGAATTACTATGAAAATCACAAAGCAAAATTTGGATACCAAATTTCATAATGAAAAATATAATCATTGACAAACTAAAAATATTTTCTACATATATAAAGTAAAATACAGGGAGACAATCAAGATGGCGGCATAGGTAAACACCTGTACTTGCTGCCTCTCACAACCACATCAAAACTACAACTAAAAGACAAAACAAATATCATCCAGAACCACGGGAAAGCTGGCTGAGTGGAAGTTCTACAACTAGAAGGAAAGAAAAAACACATTGAGACTGGTAGGAGGTGTGGAGGTGCAGAGGCACGCATGAAACGGGCTGGCAACTGGGTGCGCTGTTGTATTTTTCAATCAGGAGGGAGATACAAGATCCTGATTGCTCTGAACTCCAGTTTCAAGCGAGACTCTGGGGACCCAGACTCATACAGGGAGAAACTGGACTGTCTGGCATCGGGCCGGAACACGAGGGTGGCTTTCTCTCAGAGGTGCTCGCAGCGATCATTGTTTCTGCATGGGGCTGCGGGACACAGAGACCCGGGGACCTCTCTGGAGCAGGGCTGACTGGCAGCCATTGCTGTTTGCTCCACCCTGGTGATTCCCTGAGATCCTGCCCCACCCAATTTACAACCCCACCCAAGCTGTGCACAGCAGCTTTTGCAGCAGCTTGTCCTTTTGCTACCTAAAACCTAACAAACTGCAGCTGGGTCAGAGAGCTCCAAAGCTTCCAAAAGAAGGCCCAAGGCCCGGCAGTAGCAGCCTGCATTACTTCACAGCTGGGCCTCATCTGGGTACATCCAAACCCCAAGCAAAGAGGAGGAATCTGAAGATGTCTCTGTAGTGCCTGCTGGGTGGCCTCAGGCACTGGCTGACTTTGCACCCCCTTGGAGATCCAAAAGTCAGTGTACCCAGTGGTCAGTGTGAGACCATACCAGATTACAACTCTTCACATCCATAAGTGACACACTCAAGGGGCAGACTCAGTGAGCACCAAAGCCCCACCGAAGAAAGTCCTGCCCCATGAGGGTGTCTCCAACACAGCAGTTCTCCCATTGTAGACACAGCTGGTCCTCACAGCCAATTGGCCTGGAGGTCAATTCCTCTCAGTGATACCAAAAAGCAATCAAGGCTTAACTACAACAAGACTATGCACACAGTCCACAAAGGGTTGCACCAAGAGTGTCCATCCCAGGTAATTGGGGAGACTGAACAACTGGGCCCTATAGGACAACCTACCACACAAGGCCACTCTATCAACACAGGGAAGCAGCCAAAATGCGGAGACAAAGAAACATGTCACAAATGACAGAAATGGAGGAAAGCAAACTAGTGGATATAGAGTTCAAAACCACGGTTATAAGGTTACTCAAGAATCTTCTAGAAACCTCCGAGAAATTTAGTGAGACCCTAAAGGATATGAAAAAGGACCAATTAGAAATTAAGCATACACTGACTGAAATAAAGAATAATATACAGAGCCCTAGCCGGTTTGGCTCAGTGGATAGAGCATCGGCCTGCGAACTGAAAGGTCTCAGTTTCGATTCTGGTCAAGGGCACATGCCTGGGTTGTGGGCTCGATCCCCAGTGGGGGACTTGCAGGAGGCAGCCAATCAATGATTCTATCTCATCATGGATGTTTCTATCTCTCTCTCTCCCTCTTCCTTCCTCTCTGAAATCAATAAAAATATATATATTTTTAAAAAGGATAATATACAGAGATCCAACAGCAGACTAGAGGATCCCAAGAATCAAGTCAATGATTTGAAATACGAGGAAGCAAGAAACACCCAACCAGAAGAGCAAAAAGAAAAAAGAAT